GTAAGGATTCCCTTAAACTAAGTATGGATAAATAAAACACATAATGGCAGTGCTGTATGATAGACAGTTATTGTCGAAACTCATAGCAATCAAACGATTTGCATGCTCGGTTTCCTCAGTCCATGTAGTCAGTTGTATCATCATAGTCACTTTTTGGTAAAATTTCAGATTCTGCCAGCCTCCTCCTTTCGAAACGATTGTTTTTGGAATGGATAATTCCTTCGCTGTTTAGCACTGTAATGCTGTTGTTCTCCGACGAATCTGAATGCTTGAGCAGTGACGTAACTTGTACTTCCCGACGTCAGAGTTGCTTAAGGGGACCGTCCCTGAGAGAGGGGGGGGAAGGGGGTTAAATTGAGTTAGATAGCATATAGTATAGGTACATGGATGAGGAAACTACCAAACGAGTATATTTTGTGAAATATATCTAAAAAAAAAATGTATGTTTTGTGTCCTTTTACACACGAAATATAATACAATACAAAAGCAATAAATCCTGATTACACAAAAATATCCAATATCCTGAGCATGCGGCGCCTATGTCTGCTGCGTAGGAATGCCCAGGAGCCTGAAGAGCGAGGTACATTTTCGTCATTTGTAGGTGAATAAGAGCCCGCTGTAGCTTAACCTATGATATATCCTACTATTTCTTCCGCTCTATAAGATGGCGGTGTCCATTTCCCTCTATCACCGCGCGTCACACAAATGGATAACCTCATTTCTTCATAATTTTCAATTTTATGTAAAACTTGCGGCGCTGCTCACATCGGGCAGGAATGCGCTGCGCCGCATGGACATGGCGTCCTCCATGGAGCTGCTGCTGTGCGCAAATCGAGTCAAATCACACTCCCAAAAGGTTAGTGGGCAATACTAATTTAGGCTTCTGCACTACATATACCGAGGAAAGTATAATACTGTTATTGACTAGTGTTCGTACATGTCAGTGAAGTTCATAAAAATGTGGGGAGCGCAAAGGTTGTGCTTTAATTGAAATTCAAAAGTTGGCTCTCTAAGAGAAAAAACGGAATAATTTGTTTCACTATGCCATTAGTTACAAGGAAAATTTTACCTTTATTGGACATAATAAACGAAATTAAGAAATTTTTCTATATTTTTAAAATAGCCACTCAATATCAGTAGATGTAAAAAGTAAGTGCGCAAAACGATCAGCTTTTCTTAACCAATAGCCACCAGGGGGCGAATGTGTCGCGCGGGAGTCTTAAACCGCCGTAAAATAATGGCCGGCAGGGGGAATAAGTGTCCCGCGGGAATTTGAAGTTACAAGGTAATGCGACATGCGCGGGACATTTTTGTTTCTATTATGCACGATCGCAGCGATGGGCTTCCTATTAAACAAACATAGAATACTATATGCGCGATAGGTAAGTTTCACTACTGTCCATAGAAGGAAAGTTCCGCCCTTTGGTTAAAATATAAATCTGCGTAATTAGTCTTCCTGTACTTTTGATCATATATTTACATATATTTTTGTTAACACGCACTTTAATGCGCGTTTTAACATACTGTGCATTGTATGGGTAAGTTGAGCATGGACCAATATCCGTAACATAGCCTTAATACAGAAAATGGAAGCCACAGCAAACATTTGACCGTATACTCAAATGTTCGTGAGGGCTGTCAGGTAAGTTGTTAAATAAACACTATGGTGAATGTTATGGGGTAGTTGAGTGAGTGACTGTGTGAGTGAGTGAGTGACTGTGTGAGTGAGTGAGTGACTGTGTGAGTGAGTGAGTGACTGTGTGAGTGAGTGAGTGGCTGTGTGAGTGAGTGAGTGGCTGTGTGAGTGAGTGAGTGGCTGTGTGAGTGAGTGAGTGAGTGGCTGTGTGAGTGAGTGAGTGAGTGGCTGTGTGAGTGAGTGAGTGAGTGAGTGGCTGTGTGAGTGAGTGGCTGTGTGAGTGAGTGGCTGTGTGAGTGAGTGAGTGAGTGAGTGGCTGTGTGAGTGAGTGAGTGAGTGAGTGGCTGTGTGAGTGAGTGAGTGAGTGAGTGGCTGTGTGAGTGAGTGAGTGAGTGAGTGGCTGTGTGAGTGAGTGAGTGAGTGAGTGGCTGTGTGAGTGAGTGAGTGAGTGAGTGGCTGTGTGAGTGAGTGAGTGAGTGAGTGGCTGTGTGAGTGAGTGAGTGAGTGAGTGGCTGTGTGAGTGAGTGAGTGAGTGAGTGGCTGTGTGAGTGAGTGGCTGTGTGAGTGAGTGGCTGTGTGAGTGAGTGGCTGTGTGAGTGAGTGGCTGTGTGAGTGAGTGGCTGTGTGAGTGAGTGAGTGTGTGAGTGAGTGGCTGTGTGAGTGAGTGAGTGGCTGTGTGAGTGAGTGGCTGTGTGAGTGAGTGGCTGTGTGAGTGAGTGGCTGTGTGAGTGAGTGGCTGTGTGAGTGAGTGGCTGTGTGAGTGAGTGGCTGTGTGAGTGAGTGGCTGTGTGAGTGAGTGAGTGTGCGACTGTGTGAGTGAGTGAGTGTGCGACTGTGTGAGTGAGTGAGTGTGCGACTGTGTGAGTGAGTGAGTGTGCGACTGTGTGAGTGAGTGAGTGTGCGACTGTGTGAGTGAGTGAGTGTGCGACTGTGTGAGTGAGTGAGTGTGCGACTGTGTGAGTGAGTGAGTGTGCGACTGTGTGAGTGAGTGAGTGTGCGACTGTGTGAGTGAGTGAGTGTGCGACTGTGTGAGTGAGTGAGTGTGCGACTGTGTGAGTGAGTGAGTGTGCGACTGTGTGAGTGAGTGAGTGTGTGACTGTGTGAAGTGAGTGAGTGTGCGACTGTGTGAAGTGAGTGAGTGTGTGACTGTGTGAATGAGTGAGTGTGTGACTGTGTGAATGAGTGAGTGTGTGACTGTGTGAATGAGTGAGTGTGTGACTGTGAATGAGTGAGTGTGTGACTGTGAATGAGTGAGTGTGTGACTGTGTGAATGAGTGAGTGTGTGACTGTGAATGAGTGAGTGTGTGACTGTGAATGAGTGAGTGTGTGAACGAGTGAGTGTGACTGTGAGAGTGTGTGAACGAGTGAGTGTGACTGTGAGAGTGTGTGAACGAGTGAGTGTGACTGTGAGAGTGTGTGAACGAGTGAGTGTGACTGTGAGAGTGTGTGAACGAGTGAGTGTGACTGTGTGAGTGTGTGAACGAGTGTGTGTGAGTGTGTGAACGAGTGAGTGTGTGAACGAGTGAGTGTGTGAACGAGTGAGTGTGTGACTTGTGTGAACGAGTGAGTGTGTGACTGAGTGTGTGAACGAGTGAGTGTGTGACTGTGTGAACGAGTGAGAGTGTGACTGTTGGAACGAGTGAGAGTGTGACTGTGGGAACGAGTGAGTGTGTGACTGTGTGAACGAGTGAGTGTGTGACTGTGGAACGAGTGAGAGTGTGACTGTGGGAACGAGTGAGAGTGTGACTGTGGGAACGAGTGAGAGTGTGACTGTGGGAACGAGTGAGAGTGTGACTGTGGGAACGAGTGAGAGTGTGACTGTGGGAACGAGTGAGAGTGTGACTGTGGGAACGAGTGAGAGTGTGACTGTGGGAACGAGTGAGAGTGTGACTGTGGGAACGAGTGAGAGTGTGACTGTGGGAACGAGTGAGAGTGTGACTGTGGGAACGAGTGAGAGTGTGACTGTGTGGAACGAGTGAGAGTGTGACTGTGGGAACGAGTGAGAGTGTGACTGTGGGAACGAGTGAGAGTGTGACTGTGGGAACGAGTGAGAGTGTGACTGTGGGAACGAGTGAGAGTGTGACTGTGGGAACGAGTGAGAGTGTGACTGTGGGAACGAGTGAGAGTGTGACTGTGGGAACGAGTGAGAGTGTGACTGTGGGAACGAGTGAGAGTGTGACTGTGGGAACGAGTGAGAGTGTGACTGTGGGAACGAGTGAGAGTGTGACTGTGGGAACGAGTGAGAGTGTGACTTGTGGGAACGAGTGAGAGTGTGACTTGTGGGAACGAGTGAGAGTGTGACTGGTGTGGAACGAGTGAGAGTGTGACTTGTGGGAACGAGTGAGAGTGTGACTGTGGGAACGAGTGAGAGTGTGACTGTGGGAACGAGTGAGAGTGTGACTGTGGGAACGAGTGAGAGTGTGACTGTGGGAACGAGTGAGAGTGTGACTGTGGGAACGAGTGAGAGTGTGACTGTGGGAACGAGTGAGAGTGTGACTGTGGGAACGAGTGAGAGTGTGACTGTGGGAACGAGTGAGAGTGTGACTGGGGACGAGTGAGAGTGTGACTTGTGGGAACGAGTGAGAGTGTGACTTGTGGGAACGAGTGAGAGTGTGACTTGTGGGAACGAGTGAGAGTGTGACTTGTGGGAACGAGTGAGAGTGTGACTTGTGGGAACGAGTGAGAGTGTGACTTGTGGGAACGAGTGAGAGTGTGACTTGTGGGAACGAGTGAGAGTGTGACTTGTGGGAACGAGTGAGAGTGTGACTTGTGGGAACGAGTGAGAGTGTGACTTGTGGGAACGAGTGAGAGTGTGACTTGTGGGAACGAGTGAGAGTGTGACTGTGACTTGTGGGAACGAGTGAGAGTGTGACTGTGACTTGTGGGAACGAGTGAGAGTGTGACTGTGACTTGTGGGAACGAGTGAGGTGACTGTGACTTGTGGGAACGAGTGAGAGTGTGACTGTGACTTGTGGGAACGAGTGAGAGTGTGACTGTGACTTGTGGGAACGAGTGAGAGTGTGACTGTGACTTGTGGGAACGAGTGAGAGTGTGACTGTGACTTGTGGGAGAGTGAGAGTGTGACTGTGACTTGTGGGAACGAGTGAGAGTGTGACTGTGACTTGTGGGAACGAGTGAGAGTGTGACTGTGACTTGTGGGAACGAGTGAGAGTGTGACTGTGACTTGTGGGAACGAGTGAGAGTGTGACTGTGACTTGTGGGAACGAGTGAGAGTGTGACTGTGACTTGTGGGAACGAGTGAGAGTGTGACTGTGACTTGTGGGAACGAGTGAGAGTGTGACTGTGACTTGTGGGAACGAGTGAGAGTGTGACTGTGACTTGTGGGAACGAGTGAGAGTGTGAC